ACATGTTACCTTTGACGAATCCTTAATCATATTTTATTTGTATTTCTGATATTTTATTTACCTGTCAATGGTTACAAACGGACTAAGTGGCCTTAATGCAGTCTAAAGGGGATCAAGAGTAAAATATGTATCTTAAGATGCCATAATTTAAGCGTGAAAACGCATAACAATCAACAAAATAATATTGATGTAATACCCGAAGCGATCGACAAAAAGGGATCGCAGTAAATCGAAGGTTTTTCTAATGATCGATTTTTTTTAACCAGAAAATTTTAATTCTGCAGCTAACAAACATTTAGATAAACTAAACCAAATGACAAAGATAAAAAAAAAAAAATTACAAAAAATACACGATTTTTAATCATACCAGAAACGATCGACAAAAGTCGTGTATTTTAAATCTGGCCCTCGTAAACCAAAAAATACATTTTTATTTTAATAAAATAAAGTCTGTTGCCCCCATCCCAACCCCAATTTATCTAAAATTGTCAAACGACCACTGAAAAATACTAGTATTGAGAATATTGTTTGATAATGATATCGTTGGTACATTTATCTCTAGCTTGAGTGGTTCAAAAGTCGTTAAAAATATGTTTTGTTAATTAATTGAGTTTTAGATAGCTTCAATTAATTCTAATGTATTTTTTCATTTACATAGCTTAATATTTTCAATTACTGTACACATTCCTTTACATTGTTATAATATTTTCAATTACTTAAAAAAAAACTCAGTGTCACCATGCACGAGGAGGACAGGAAGAAGGTAAAAACAAAGCTAGGAAAAAGTATAAAGTCTTCAGTCTTGACGGTTTAAAACCAAAATAAAGAAAGAAAAAATTATCACGTCTCATTTTGTTTTTAATGTTATTATTGTTGCGAATTAACTACTGGTCAGACTTAAATAATTCAAACCTTTTTTGAAATTTAATTTTAAATTCATTTTTTATAATAAATAATAAAGGAATTTGTGCAGTCCAAAACTGAATTATTTAAGAGTTTTCTTGATTTGAGTTGATAAAACAAGAATATCATCAGTCTCGTTTTAAGTCATCATTTCGTAAGCTCTAATGTCGATGCAATGACTTTATCAGCAAATACAATTTATCATCGAGTCAAATGTTGAGTTGACGTTTTTCATACTACTTGTTAGGCCATTATTTACAAGATGAACAAATACTGGTGTTTCTATTATTCTGAGCATTTTGATTTTTATACATGACTACTGGGAGTATTCACTTTTTTAAAGACAAACTATTTTCGCTTATATGATTACCACAAGTATCTAGTTAACAGTTTTACAGTAGGGCTTCAGCTCATTTTCATCCGATCTCCGATTTGGTTTACTGAAACATTTTGTCAGTAAACGGAAGGCATTTGGTTAAAATATATTATACAGTAGTCATGTATAAAAATCAAAATGCTGAGAATAAAAGAAATACCGGCATTTGCTCGAATTCAACATTTGCATTAAAGATGTTCTTTTAGAACAAGAATATAATAATACAGCACACTTCTATCCACAAATTTGTTATTTCAGTCGTCCGAGCTTCCACACGATCTGGACCAATGAAAAAAATCACTGATTAGTGATCGCTTTTAAACTTCATCTGAATTTTGTATTTTTTTTGTTTTACAACACATCCGCATACCTCATATAAATGATATCATTGAATGCATTTTCAACCCATAAATCTTTTGATGACACTTGATCATTTGCTGGTACATTATTATTCCCTCAGTAGGTGGTTAAATAAGAAAAAAAAACAGTAATAGCAAATAGTTTTAATGTTTTTTATTTAACTTTTTCTCACACTTTTTTTTTGTACCTCGCCACAATCATAGCTCACATAACCCACAAACTGGGCTAGCCCAAGCACATCTAATTAAACTAATAAATTAAATGCCAAAAAATAACAAGCTTGGATGGAATTTTTTTTAATAAAGCTAATTTGGAATTTTCATATTCTAACACTATTTAACCTTTGTAGTTTCTTCTACGGGCCTGAGCTTGTGCTTGTGCATAATAAGACGCGTCTTTAATTGGAGCTGCCGCAGCAAACTGTGCTGGCCCGGGCATGCCTGGTCGCCCTGTGGCTCCCTGGGGCCCGCGTTCTCCCTTCTCTCCTGGAACTCCTGGTGCACCTTGGGCGCCCTGGTATCCTTGAGGTCCACGTGGCCCTGGCGGTCCATCTGGTCCTTGTGGTCCAGTCTCACCTGCGGGACCCTGAGGCCCTGGCTCACCTGGCATACCTGGGTATCCAACGTCTCCTGTAAATTATAAAGAACATTTACTTATAAGCGGTGTTATTTATCTAGAAATACTAGAAAATAAGGAGACCCCTGAACATAAATCGATTCATATGTCAATGAAAAGTATTATTCTTTGATCATTTTAATGTTTAGCCCCTGATGTTTAGACTTTCAACCATTAAGAATCAATCAATTAGCTTTCTTTTTCCTACCTTTCTCTCCCTGTGGTCCCATGGGTCCCATTGGTCCTGGTAGCCCTGGCTCTCCCTGATCTCCTGGAAGTCCCTGCTCTCCGGGGGCACCAGGCTCTCCTACTGCTCCTTCGTATCCTTTAAGACCTTGAGGTCCCTGTGGTCCGGGGGCTCCTGGAACACCTGGGGCTCCGGTTTCACCTGGAACACCTTGGTCACCTTGAGGTCCCTGCATACCTGGTTCGCCTTCTTCTCCAGGAACTCCGGGAGGACCAGTGTCTCCCTTAAATCCTGGGTATCCCTGTTTACCCTGAGGTCCAGGAGCACCTGGGGCACCCGGCTCTCCCTTGGGTCCTGAAAAAGATTTAAAAGAATATTAAAAACAATAACAAGTACAGTGATTTAGATTTTTAAAGATTGTTCTGAATCTGTTCTTTTTTATATTCCAAAATTGTATGACATTTTTTTCCTGCTTTAAGCACAGGCATTTAGCTATATTAAAGATAATTCTAAATCTCTCTTTTTTTAATCTTCCAGAATTGTTTAATATTTTTTCCTGTATTAAACTTTACCCTATCTCTTTAAATTCTCAAATCAATGTGCTGTTTATAAAAACACTCAAATAAAGTTTTGTACCTGGGGCGCCCATGGGTCCAACAGGTCCTCTTAAGAAGTAACTCCCAGCTCGTTTTCCTCTGCTGTGTGGAGCTGCTGTAAAACGTTTAGGAATAACGTAAATACTGTAGTTGATTTTAATTCAAAATGAATATCTTATTTTCAAAGAAAGCAGTAACGTATTACAATAATAATTCCAAATTAAAGAACAAGCCAATGAATAAGAATGCTCTCCAAAATCTTTAAAAAAATTGAAAAAATTTCAAACGAAGCGAAACCTCCTTTTAACTGTTATGAAAAAACATATTCATATATCCATGCTACCTTGTGTAATTGTATTTGAACCATACCATTTTTTGCTATTTCGTGTAATACTAGTAATACTTGTAAAAAAAAAAGACCTATTGTTTCTATTTAATAAATAAAGCCAGTGCATTTTTTTTAGAAAAATTAATTAATAACGATAGCATTCAACAATTCTTTCAAACAATTATTTTAAATTGCATATGCTTGCATTTTAAAAATCTTTTCATTCTAAAATTATCCCTCCTTAAGAAATACATGTACTTATTATCAAATAAGCTTAATTTTTCCTGGTGTAGTTTCACAAGAAAAACTGTTGTTCGTTTGTATTAAACAGGAAAAACAACTTACTGTGCTCTACCTCCACGATCTCGCTCTGAAGAGTGTTGAGCATCTCCTTCATCGACTCCAACTCGGTCCTGAGTTTGCCTAGCTCTGTGGTACAGTCGCTATTGGGTTTGCCGTACACGGCAGCCCATCCTAGAACGCAGAGCAGCACACAAGTACGCATGGTGATCACAATTCACAGCTGAGTCTGAGACTGAGTGGAACTCACGACTCCCTCTTTTATAAACCCCCGGCCAACTCACACAGAAAAGCCCTGGTGTCGGCAAAAAGTAAATGAGCCTTTGCAAATGTTAAATTTCTTGGGTCTATTCTCTTGATTAATTAGGGGCTCTTTTGGGAGAATCTTTCAAGAAAAAATTAGCAAGCATCTTAGCTAACCTGGACGAAATTAAATCAAGAACTACGTGTTCTTTTTATGCTATATCATTAATCGTTTTTTTTTTCAGTTTAGAATTCTTTATAAAACGCTGTCTTCCTAGTAAGGAATGACTGTTTAAATTTCAGTTTTATATGATGTAATCGAACAATTTTCTCAAAATGTAATTAGACTTTGATAATGTTTATATGTATGATCTTTAGTACGATATTGAATATATTGTAAACAATTTACAACTCATTTTATTTCACCAGATACAGTTAATACATTCCGGTCATTTGAATGTGTTGTACTTTGCATACTAGTACATGTAAGATATGACACTTAACAGTAATAACTAACTTTACGAACCTTTGACATATCTAGAAATACAGGTGACCATTGTTATCCAGGTACATTTTGGTTTTAGCCACGTCAGATTCGTATTTTTTTTTTACTGGACTTTTAGACTGGTCACTGTTCGTTCTCTTCACATTATTGCTTTAAATTCATTACAAAAAAAAATAAAAACCGAGTGAAATTATCTTAAATTTAATGATCGTGGAAACATATCCATAATATAATTCTCTCGAAAATAAATATTCATAAAGGATGCACAAATTTTCTAGGTTGTGCAGCTTAAAATATTGAATCTAATTTTACATGCACTGATGATAAATTATTTTAAGTTATCTAAAACTCATCATTGTTATGTTATTGAATGTTTAAGCATAAATCTTATTGCATATGTATACAGTTAAACAATTTATACTACTGGTGTGTAAGAGTAGATGTTTAATGGATGTAACACGGTCCACACTCATATAAAGTAAGTTAGCATTTTAATGTTAAATATATATAGGCCTATGGGAAGTCAAAAATAAGCAATGGGAAGTTAAAAGTAAGCAGGAAATTAAAGGAACGTTGCACATAAGTATAAATGAGAACTTTCATTTTAATGACATGTAGAAAAGAGCTTAGTGAGATAACATTTCATCCCTGTGCTAAAGATAAAAGTGAAATCCGGGAATTTACAATTACCTTATCACAAGCATGCAAGAAAAAGAAATCGGATTCATCTAATTACAAGTCTAAGTCTGGTCACGGATAATCCATTTCCCACACACGTGTCATTGGGTAACCTTAGAAAAACCCGTTTCAAAAAGCAGATTTATTTATTTAATTTTTTTTTAAATTTACTTTCGTCACTAAGTTAATGGATATGACCTTGATTCAAGTGCAATATAATTTTTGGTAATTTTTTTTTTTTTTTTGCATGCACATGTATACATGTATGTGCTATACCTTTATTTTCAAACCATTGCAACCTTTCAAACGTATTTATTTCTTTAAAAATGAAAACATTCTAAGATATTTTTTTTTATTCGAAATTTTAAATTGTACTCTAGAGAGATATCCGAACTTTCTATTTAAGTGATAATTCTTATAGTATCGTGTATAAGTTTGAACCGGATTAAATATTATATGCTCTATTCAATTGATTATCAACCAATAAGTGCTCGTTTGTAATTGGCAGAGGTGCTTAAAAATGATAATTATAATTTTCCTCATCTTAAAAACGTGTGTCATATCCTGATTGTGAAGTATAAAGTGGGAGACAACTAGATACATTCTCACGCTTCGGCAATAAAGGCATGGACGATCTGCAACAAATCTGGTACTAAAAAATGCTTACAATTACTTTTTTTAAAAATATAGGGCAAATGTATATCAAAATGTTCGACTAACAGAAAAAACTAAAATATTACTTTTCATATTTCAGTAGCACTGGCGATGCTTCAAGCCGTAAAGCTCGACAAAAGGTAATTTTTTCACTCCAATAAAAAGTGTACATTGATGTAGACTGAACAATTACATACAAAGTATTATATACATGGACATGCATTATTGTTAAGGTATTATTCTGCAAACTGTAGCTCTTTTGAGATGTAAAAAAAATTCTCTTGATATTAAACCGAGACAACAATTTTACACTCAATTTGGCTCGAGGTGGTTATACGAGAACTGGAGCGCGCACCCTGTTCCATGGCGATAAAGGTTTCTAGATTGCCCTCTGACATAAAATCTAATCTGGCTCTCTCTTTCCTTTTTTTTCTCTCCGAACAATGATTCATTAATTAAGATAAATAAATCATTTTAACAACTGTTCAACAGTCATTCAAAAATAAAATTCAAACACGTTAAAGAGTCAAGTGGTAATTCATTACGGTTTGACCATCATATAAGTTAATCATATTTCCTCTTCTATCGCTCAGATACATATATATTTGACATCGACATTGCACTAAAATCATCACTTGCAAAATACTATGATTTCTTCTTTAATGCTCCCCTTATGGTGGCTTCCTCAAGCTAAGGTAAAATATACTTGCCCAATGTACAACCTTATACTGGCCATATTATTCGTACGTTATATTGACTCATTTTCAAAATTAAGAAATTACAAAATTATCATTACACAGTAACAAACCCCATAGGCCTATGTTTATTATCATATCATACATGAATTGGTTTCTTTTAAAACAATTGCACAGCGGATAATTTTGTTTTCCAAAGCAATACGGAGATGGGACCGGTCCAATGGAGATACTTGCCCCTCTTCTTCGAGGGGTACTTTTTCTTTTTATGATTTGTGTGTTTATCTGAATTTATGAAATGTATCACTGTTCGTTGCTTATTACTTTACATTCTATATTCTCAACTTTGAACATGGGTAAAAAAATTATTGCATGAACTCAACTAATTACAAGTGGGCAACAAAAAATTATCTTATTCAGGAAGCATATATGAAGAATTCCTAAAATGAGGGTTTAATATCAAGTGCTGATGTGTAAAGGAAACATCCTCTATGACCACACGTCATTATCACGAAAAGGCAAATCTGGTTTTTTAGAATAGGAAATAAATACCTCTCATATTTGTGTACTTGATTAGCACTTAAATCCAGGCTAGGTAGTGTTTTTTCCTAAAAATCATGAAAACAGATACTAGAACAAAGTTTATATAAGTGAAATGAATAAAATTTTGCAAAGAATTGTTATATTTTAATTATTTTAATTTTTTCCTAAAGTTATTTGTAAAGAAAAGAGTGATAATTATAAACAACATAAAAACTATATTATTTTTAATAGTTGTAACCGTATGTTTCTTTATAAATAAAGATGAGTAGAATAGGCGGGCCTTAGTACAATAAAGGAATATGTATGTCTGGGGGAACATATGTCATGTGACTATTTCGCACATAGTCGCTTTCAGAGAACAAGTGTACAGTACGATGACTGAATGACAAAACATGCTGTTTTACTGGATTTTTATATATCATCTCAGACACGTAGTGTAGGTCAATTTACACATTGGTAAAGTGGGAGAGTATATAGGGATCGGGATGTCCGTCCGTCCGTTCGCCCCCTCTTACGCTTTTGAGTACTCATCTCTTATCCGCGACTCCTCTTTTACCACTGAATAACATTTAAAGAGACTTGCACAGAATCTTTATTATATAGTGCCATTGTGCAACTTTGATCAGACACATAATTTGGGTTTCTCAGAGCAAAACATGGACACTGTCATTCTTTCTATAATATTGAAAGGTACCTATGGAACGCCATAGCTGCCTTATGTGGCTATTTCATATTATGCTGTGGTTATTTTATATGAAGATGGTGCTCTTTTATATTATGCTGTGGTTATTTTATATGAAGATGGTGCTCTATTATATTATGCTATTGTTATTTTGTATGAAGATGGTGCTCAATTTTATTATGCTGTGCTTATTTTATATGAAGATGGTGCTCTATTGTATTATGCTGTGCTGATATCCAGGCTAGGTAGTGTTTTTTCCTAAAAATCATGAAAATAGATACTAGAACAAAGTTTATATAAGTGAAATGAATAAAATTTTGCAAAGAATTGTTATATTTTAATTATCTTAATTTTTTCCTAAAGTTATTTGTAAAGAAAAGAGTGATAATTATAAACAACATAAAAACTATATTATTTTTAATAGTTGTAACCGTATGTTTCTTTATAAATAAAGATGA